TGTTTGATCACCCCATCCCTCGGGGCTTCCAGAACCGCTTCTCGACCCAGTACCGCTGCTTCTCTGTGTCCATGCTCGCTGGACCTAATGACAGATCAGATGTGGAGAAAGGCGGGAAGAGTAGGTGCCTGTTTTATTTTGACTAATAACCTGTTGGAAGAGTGTTTGTGAATAATACCAAGTCGTACAGCTTTTGGCCAAGACTGCAGAAACATAGTTGAACAGCGTGGAGATGTGCTGTTGGCTTTGTGGCTGAAGCTAGAAAAGCAACTTAAGTGGGGCTTTAAGAAGAAAGGAGGAGGGGTTTAATGCATTAGTGTATAATTGAAAAACTTACCAAGTGAGTCCGGGTTTACGAGCATTAGAAGAAGACATTCTTCTTTTTGAAAGTCTCTTGTTAAAATCTTAGACACATTATGAACCATGAAAATTTATGATTAAGGCCTTTTTTCCCCTCCTTATTGTACCTCACTGAGCTTGAACAAAGAGAATAGATTGGCCAAATTAATTTTCAGGCTGTCAGACTAATGCTGTTTGAGTTGCCATCGATTTAAGAGCACCTATAAGCCGAAACAAATACAATTACCTTTAGGAAACATTTTCTTCAGTACTAGTATTGTAAAACCTTGCCTTCTTTTTTTTTTTTTTTTTTTTTTTTTAAGTTAAATTCTGAAGTCTCCATGCTTAGCAGGTATATTTATTATGGCTGATTCTACTGAAATCTCTGACTCAAAAATGAATTTGCAGGAGATTTTATAATCTTTTTTTATAGAAAATTTTAGAGGAAGGAATGATAAAATTGTATGTTGTGTACTTTTTCTACAGTCATACTTTTCCTAATCTTACATTCTTACTCATTTCTGCAGTAATTATGCCACCATCAGCTTTGGATCAACTCAGTAAGTGAATATTTTATTCTGGAGTAACAGAAATATGAGCAAATGTCTAAGCAAATACTACAGTATTTTAGTTATCTATTAAAATAGGACTTGGCTAAAGAATGTGAGACTAATTAGTTAAAAAAATGTGTTTTGGAAGTATTTTGTCTGTCAGAATTAATGGAGCTTGCCTGTCTTCAAGTACAGACCTCTGAAGTGTTGGGCTACCTGAGGCGTGAATCAATATTTATAAACTATTAGTAGCGTACTCAGTGTGATTGTTACAGTTAATCTAGTAAATTGTTAATCTCAGCTTGCTTGTTCTGGACACTGTTGTCTGGAGCAAAATTTATTTTAAAGACAAAATAAGTCATAATTACCTTTGAAATGGGGAAAAAGATAACTGAATCAATAGAATAAGTGTTCTTTATTGGCCTTTTTAACTAAGGTTTTTTTTCCACCTGTATGTTTTAGACTTAATAGAATTTCTTTGAGAAATTAGTTTAGTCAGAATTTGATTTTTGAATAGGCAAGGCCTGTTAAAATTCATTAGGAAGGAGCTAACTAATAATAGCATGAAGACATAACAGTAATAGATTCTTCTCTTAATACCCACTGCCTGCTCCTCTCTGAGCTTGGGGAAATGTTGGAAAGGCATTTAAAGCTCTAAGTGCGATGGCAGTACAGTATTCCTGTATCTGCATTCTCTCCTGGATTTGTAGTTTTGAGCAATTGGAGTAATGGTGTGAGGGGAATCCTCTCCTACAGTCTTGTCTATTCTCTTGCTAATGTTTAACCTCTGAAAGCTTCAGAAATTTGTTAGCAGCATTTAATAAATGTAACTTTTTTTTTTCTCCCCTCCTTTTTCACCAGGCCGACTTAATATTACTTACCCGATGCTGTTTAAGCTGACAAATAAAAATTCAGACCGAATGACGCATTGTGGAGTCCTTGAATTTGTGGCTGACGAAGGCATATGTTACCTTCCACACTGGGTGAGTTGTCTCAGGCTGAACTGTCAAAACCTGAAGAGTAGGATTGGTGAGTTGCCAGTTTAATATTAAAGAGGTGGAATGTTTCCTGAAAGTGTATGTCTTTGTTAGTCATGTTCCTGCAGCAGCTTTCAGTCACAGCTCTGGTTTCCCTCCACGAGAGTTTAATTGAGTAAGCAAAGCAGACTGCTTTTTAAGGTACACCTGACCATTATTGCTGAGGTTAAACCATGGTAAACTGGTGTGTTTCAAGGAAGACAGTGCCCTGGCAAAAATAGATATACGCAAGGAAAGAGAATTAAAACCATCAGTTGATAGTGGTTTGTATCTTTGTTTTTATCTTGCAGATGATGCAGAACTTGCTGCTAGAAGAGGGAGGCCTGGTGCAAGTGGAGAGTGTTAATCTCCAAGTTGCTACGTACTCAAAATTTCAGCCACAGAGTCCAGATTTTCTTGACATCACCAATCCCAAAGCTGTGTATCCTTCCTATGCAATTGTGGAGCAGGGGCAAAAGTGTTCTCCCAAACTGGAATCATGAAGCAGAGCTAGCTTTTCAGGTGTGCCTCATACTCTTCCAGTAGTAGGTAACTACTGCTGCTCCTTCTGAAGACAAAAACGATGAACAGCTTATGTACAGAGATGTTGCCAACTGCTGGCACAAAGTGTAGCTTGGAATGAAGAAGTTTGGCTTAAAATCGAATGAGTTTGTGCTTCCCTTAGAACTTACACACCCTAATGTTTACTGGAAGGCTATCTACAGTACTGATGCCTTTTAAACCACATTTGAGAGACCAAGGATCAGAGTTTTGTAACATAATAACTTTAAAGCTTTGGTGTTGCATTGAAAACAAGTGTTTCATCTTAACATACTCCAAAGGTTAGAAAATGCATTGAGAAACTTTGCTTGTCTGACTACTGGCGATGTTATTGCAATCAACTACAATGAAAAGGTACAGTATACAACACCAGTCCATGAAGGTTTTGTTTGGATACTGTCAAATTGAGGAAGTAAATTTTGCCCCATGTGAAAAAGTACACACTATTTCAGTAGATTGTGACCACATAAGTACTGTGACTACATCTTCTAAGTAGATTTTATAGATGAGTATTTTTGACAGCACACACACACAATTGATCACCTGGGGTTGTAGACTAAGCTCAATTTTGGATGTTGGTGCTAAACCGATCAACACAGAGCCGTGTGGTGGTGTTGACAAGTAATCCCAGGTGTAGATGTCCTGGGTTCAGCTAGGAGAGGGTGAATGTTCATGAAAAGCTAGGAGGGGGCACGGCCAGGACAGCAGAACCGAACTAGCCACAAGTAGCCATGGGGATATTCGCCACCATAGTGATGTCATACTGAGTGTATAAGAGGAGAGTTCCGGGCTCAGGAGGGCAGGCTGGGTGGTGAGCAGTAGAGTTGTGCATCACTCGCTTGATATATCATTTCATTACTGTTATTGTTACAACTGTTGTTTCTTCTCGCCTTGTCTTGTTCTCTTAAAACTGTCCTTACCTCAACCCACAAGGTTTTACCTTTTTCTTCCGATTCTCCTCCCCGTCCCACGGGGGAGGTGGAGAGGAGTGGGCGAACGGCAGAGTTGTTGCTGGCTGGGCCGCATGACAGTGGTTTTTACAGTCAGTTTTCTATTGGGGGAAAAAAGGGATCAGTTAAGACTTCTCCTGAGCTGATGTTCAGACTGTTTTTTGACTCACAAGAAAATAAATTTTTGTGCTGATGGTGTTTCTACAAGTCAAGGGACAGAATTCATCCTAAATTTGTAATTTTTTCAAAAATGCAGATTAAGGTACAGTAAAAGTCCAGCAAGATACAGTAAAAGGTAGGTTCTCTAGCTCTAGCGTATAACAATGTTCTGTCTAGGTTAAAGGTCTTTGCTCTCATGTTCTGTAGAGACCCTGCAGTATCCAGTCCTCAACCTAAAGAGCACTTACTTCAATTTTCTTGAAGCTATCTGAAGGGAAAGGTTTAGATATGCTTTTCTTGTGTATAAATTGAGCTCTCTTATGTGCAATCTTGAAATATTTATTATTGTTTCAGATCTATGAGCTTCGGGTAATGGAGACTAAACCAGATAAGGCTGTGTCCATCATAGAATGTGATATGAATGTAAGTTAAAGGTGATGTGGAAAGTCTGCTTTTACTGTGTCCTACCAAAAGGAGAGGGCATCTCGTTCAGTGATAGCACTGTACACTGAGCCCCTCTGATGCTGCAGGAAAGGTAAAATCAGATAAGGAAGGTGATTTGTTTGAGAGTAACCTGTGTACCTTTTAACCACATCTGTGGTCTTGAGCTGCACTTCATGTACCATCAGGTGACTGTAGAGCCTAGAATTTAATGTTTGGCTTCAACATGTTTTATAATCTGGGTTTTATTTAACTGTCTTGACTTGATTCAAACTCCAGTGATGCTGTGTGGTGCTGTTTCACTGCTTTGTTTCAATTACATGCTAAGACTCATTCCTGGGAGGCTTAGTTTTCTTAGTTCTGAGTTAAAATGTTTAACAAGCAAACCTCAGTTCTTTCTAGATCAAAATGGAGTGGTAGTTTGTGGAGTTTTGAGGAATAGTAGTGTAAAATTTATGATTAAAAGAAAAATATCAGTCATACTTATTTTCATGCTTCTTGTGTAAATAGGTGGATTTTGATGCTCCTTTGGGGTACAAGGAACCAGAAAGGAGTGCACAACAGGAAGAGACCACAGTATGTTAAACTTCTGTTCTTCAAAAATGTATTCACTAGAAGTCAGCCCTGCTTGTGATAGAGCAGTGAGCATAAACATGATTTTTTTTTCCTGAAACAGTTTTTTAAGACTAAACTTTATTTACCAGATGCTTTTGCTTGTGTTACTTAGAAGATGGATGTTTGCCAACTGTTGATTTTTGGAAAGGGATTGTTCTGAAGTTTTGTTGGGTCAGAAATATGTGGAACTGTTTTCATGTGTTCTGCATGTCACAGCACGAACACAATGAGCTAACTTGTTTTTTCCCTCGCAGGATGTGGAAGCAGACCATGGTGGATATGTGAGTGACACAGGATTTCGTGTAAGTCTCCTGTTTCTGCTGGTTTCTGAATGTTGTAAAACGGTGAGGGGAAGTTGTTGCAAACGACTGCAAAATACTAGTACCTGTTCTTAGAGGTGTTCATCATTTAACTGGCAAGTATCTGTGAATGTTTTGTGGTGCTTACAGCCAGTAACCTTAAAAGATGGTCTATAAGTGGGAGACCGAAAGATGCTCCTACACCCAGGATTCATCATGTTATATGTGCCAAAAAGAAACGTGCTGAACCAAATACTTAAATAAAAAGGATAGTAAGACTTTTACAGAAGATAGTATCCCTGTGCAGCACGCTTTCAGGTACAAGCTATGGTTAAATGAAAACTCGTTATGTGTACATAGGCTTTCTCTGGTTCTGGGAACAGATTGGATGGCAAGAAGAAAGGTGTTGAGCCTAGTCCTTCGCCAATTAAACCAGGAGACATTCGAAGGTATGTCTGTTTCATTCAGTGGTCAGCAGGTGAAAGATCAGTGTTTGAGTAGAGTTCCATTCTTTTTCTGCTCCTGGCAATGCAAACGAGCTAATTTTGTAGTCAGTGTGCATTTAGAAAATAAATAGTCTGATCTTGCAGACTGACTGTGACATCCCTGAGTACTCAGGATGCGGATCCTCAGGTAATGTTGCCAGAACTCACTCAATCAACTCCCTATGGAGGACAAGCAGGGAGAGGCAGCAGGTCTAGACTGGGCTGGTGAGCTGGATCAAGCGATGCACAGAGCCTTGCCAATTTTCTAAAGTGAAATTTGGCATAGAGTGAAATCCTTTTTGAGTTGGGTGGATAACCAAAGCCAAACCTTGTGTGGGTTTGTTGAGGTGTTGTGGGGCTTTTTTGTTTGTTTGTTTTTCTTAGAAGGAAATTTAGAAAATTCAGACTTAGTGGAAGTGTGCAGGGATGTGGGTCCTGTGGTGTTCTGTCATTTATGCCTGTCACAGTAAAACTTGTGGAAAAGTGTGTCCATGGCCCTGTGGAAACCACAGGCTATGTGGAAATGTGCCCACAGCCAAGCTTCTGCAGCAGCTCTAGTATCTGATTATTCACTTCATGCAATATATGCCTGCCCTCAGAAAATAATTCAGAGGTTTGACTCTAGAACTACTTGGTAATGAACATTTGCAGCCAGTGTTGGTACAATACTGACAGACATAGAATAGGTCTCTCTGTGTTCAATTGGGTGGTAGGTAGAGAACTTCTTTCATGATATTTTTATGCTTGTTTTCCAGAGGAATACCCAACTACGACTTCAAGATTGGTAAAATTACATTCATTAGAAACTCACGTCCACTAGTTAAGAAAGTCGAAGAGGTAAATAAAATTGGATCCTTCCTAGTTTTGCACAGAATTAGAACACGAGAACGACTGTCCAAGTTTGTGGTTGCTCTCTCCATACTTGATTTTTCACAACACGCTTCTGTTAAAAAGTGGTGGTAGTTGAAAAGTAGTTTGAGTTAGGTGAAAGCAACCTCCACTGTCCTTGCTTGCTGATGTAAAAAATTGGCCTGATGTAAGTTTGACAAGCCAGCACGTACTTGTTTCAGTTGGCTGAGAGGTCACTGAAATGCTCGTATTTTATTTTCAGGCAGAAGGTGGTTGTTATGTAGATCAAGGATGTGAACTGTCTGCAGTCAGTTGCTGCTCTGATGGAATGTTCTTTCTGATGATCATTCAGTTTTCATTACACACAAGCAGTGAGCAGAGGTAACAACCTGTTTTCCTTCTTTCCTTTTTCCAGGATGAATCTGGAAGCCGGTTTATTGCCTTTTCAGGAGAAGGCCAGTCTCTCCGCAAAAAGGGAAGAAAACCCTAAGTTGTGGTACCGTTAGTCAGTTAGGAGGAAAATAAAATTATAATGGCAGCACATTGGATCTTAGTTATTGCAGTGGAGAGGAGAGATTGTTTTGTGACACAGGAACACTTAGACTGGTTTTGGTTTTGCGTTTAAAACTGGAGCTGTCAGACTGTCAATTAAGTTCTAGGAATTCTGAAGGAGTTTTTTGTATGTTGTAAGGAGGGAAAGTATATCTTGGATAAACCTGAGAAGAAAACCCCTCAAGGTCTACCTTACTGAAAGGTCCAGTTCTTACGCTGCGTCCTCCCCTCTTACGGCCAGAGTGATGATGGTCTCAGGTTGCTCTGTGCTTTCCTGTTTTCCTCCCTCTCCATATATTTTGCCACAATTTCAGGTAAGCTTTTTGGTGTGGTGCAAATGAAGGCTGACACTTCGGTGTTTAGGACTTTTGTCTTAGTTTCAGGTGTTGGGTTATAAATAATTCGAAGCAATCCCCCTGTAATTGCTTTTTATATTTATAACTAATCTCGTGCCTTTTAGTGGTTCAGATGCAGTAACGTACGGGCACGTGTAGGGGAGGCGAGACCCAGCCCGGTGCCGGTGAGGGGGTACAGAGCGCCGGCTCCTGCGCTTTGCGGCAGCGGTGTCGCAGCCGGAGCAGCCTTTCCGTGCCGGGGTGTCCTCACGGGGTGAGGGGCGACACCCCCGCGCTCCCTCCGGAGCGGTCCAGCGTCGGTCCCTCGGTGACCAGCGTGCGACACCGGGGAGGGGATTTCAGGAAAACCGAAGCAGCGGCGGCTGCCTCGCGCCTCGCCCCCGCGGCGGGAGTTTCGCGGAAAAAGGGCGGGTTTTGG